ATGCGTATATCATAATCATATTTGTTTTAGCAATATGTACTTAACTTAGAAATTCTGTTAGAATTTTCTTAGGAACTATTTTTCATTTTTCCGATCAGATGTTTGCAACATTTTCTTTGTTGGTAATACTAACTTTGTATTGTTACAATTATCTACAAACAAGACAACTCTTTTATTATGCTGTTTCCTCGTTGATGTTTTGTTGAAACGTGCATTTTCATTTATAGTTTGTATGTTATTTCAATAGTTCAGGTGGTTTTTTCAGGAAAATTACCATTCAAAAACCATAATGCATTGTAATGCTTTTTGGATAATGAACTTATTATTAATTTCAGATAGCAATCTTATGCCTGTTGTTGAACAGGCATTGGGAGACGACAGGCATAAGATTGCTATCTAAAATTATTATTTATATTAGACAACTCTAAAGGGATAGACTACTTATGTTTATGTCCCAACAAAAATAGGTTCTGCAGTAAAAAGTCTCCTGGTATAGTACATACATTACGAAATAATATTTGGAATGATAGCGCTAACTCGAAGTTATCTACTTATAAACACGAGAAACTGAAAATCAGTTAAAAACTTAATATTTAAATGAAAATTTCAAATGTAACCATTTCACAATATGCACGCCGTGTCCCAGATATGTCGGGAGTGTAGTCCGATGCAACTGGCGAACGGAAATCGCCTAGCGACAACATTGTTGTGCGGTCTCTCTTGTTCGACTCATGAAGTAGGTACGCAGTACCTACTAACATAAATCAAATCCACATGATCGATACGTTGGATTCTGCTAGCACAGAATCTACTTTAATAACGGTGTTTGATTTTAACAAATAAAATTTAGGTAACAGGTGGGTTTATCTCTACCAAAATTGTTGATATAAGTTAGGTAATACGTTTTAGCTGAAATGTTAGTCACTCCCATAGATAGACTCTGTCTGATAAGCGTTGATCCCGTTACCTAACAATCGAAATATATTGATCCATACAAAGTAATGGTAAAAAAGGCTTATGATTTTTATGTGTCAAATAAAATAACACAATGTTATAAAATACAATGAGTAAGAATATGTGGTACAATTAACAGTTATTTTCATTTGTCCGCAGGCGATGAACGTTTGACCGCGCGATGGATCAGCAAGATGGATGGAGTAGCGGAGAGTCGGTTGCGACCGAAAACTCTACTGAAAATTCCCGGGCCGCGGAACGCGACCGGGTGCGCATCGAGTTCTATGCTACTTATGACGTCATGACGGGCGTACGAATAGCCGCCACCCTTGGCGGCTTCTTTGCATTAATGGTATTTTTGATCGTTTATAAAAGCCGTAGTAAATCTGTTAAGGCTTTAAACGATCCAAAAATAGTAGAAATGGCTGAAGCTGTTGTCGCCGAAGAACAGGCAGTCGAAGAGGAGAGGCAATTGACTGCAGCGCTAGAAGAGGCGCTTTCAGAGCGTGCACGCTCACGCCCATCAATAAGCGAGGAGCCACCTTGGCCCCGTACAGCACGGTTTGCGTCATATGGAGGTGGCTATGGAAGCTTGCTAACACCGCCCCGCCGGTTATCGACTGCTCGCGGTGACTCGCTTCCTGGTTCAGCCTTACGTTTTGCAGAGCGTCGGTCGTCAGCTGGTCCACGCGACCGGCGACTGAGCTCAGCGACTTGTTCTAGTTCCGGGAGCTCTTACTTGGAAAGACGTGGTTCGTCAGTAGTGTGTGCTTTGCCAGAACGCCGATTATCGCCTTGTCCTAGTGAGAGACTTGCCCCTCTCGCGTCAGTGGGTAGCGTAGGCCCATCCTATGCGGTAGAGTGTGAACTAGCGTCAGTGGGTGCAGATTCAGTTTTTGCAGAGGACGAAGCGGACTCAACTGACGATGAGGTGGAGCAGTTTTCGACAGATAGTGGCGGTGGTGAGGCGACATTAGTAGGCGAGTGTACGGAGCTTTCCAGTCGTCCCACACCACTACCGCTGCGGTTAGATCGTGCTTCACATTCAAGAGAAACGTTGTTCTAGTCTATGCCAAATGGTGATGTAACTGTTGGCAAATTAATGTTAGTTAAACATATTAAAATATCGACATTTTCCATTTCTAAATAACTATTTATTTATTTGTATTTTAACATATCATAAAATTTGACATATCATTTGGTTTTAATTACCAAATTAAATTTTTATTCAAATTATACTTAACTAACGCACTTTATACATTACCCTAATATAAAACTGCTAATAGCTTCTTGGAAGGCAAGGTTTAATGTTGTTTTTCGCTTGCATTTACCTATGCTTTTAATTTGTCTAACGAGAAGTAGAAAATATGTCGATATTTTAATATGTGGAAATTATTGTAAATAGATTGTTTTTGTTGATATATTGATGTTTCATAATGTTGATGTTCCCAGCCCATGGAAGAATTGTAAACAATGTACTAATTACTTGTATATGTTGCGTATGTGTAGGAACACATAGGTGGCGAATTAGTTAAAGTTTTGCTCATGTGTATTTATTTTGCTAACGGCTGATCAATACAATAACGAACATTATCCGCGCATACTCATCAGATCTGGTTCATTCACCATAGTGTTCGATTCGATGTAAAAGTAATATGTAAAGATTTGCCGAATTAGTCATTTGTAGTTACATTAAATTAATGTAATTATTTAATATAATAGTTTTCGACGAATTTTTAACTTCTGTAAATTGCCACTCTATTTACAAAGTTTTCAAGTCTACCGGGCTAACTGCCAACCCCACTGAAAGTGCGGTTGATGATCTAACCAAAGCATTGCCGACTCACATGGTGTTTGTACAATGTAGATATTAACTTATTAGGGTAGATAGTCGTCAGTCAAGTCAATTGCGGATGTGTATTTGTATAATACTTATTAGTTTTGTAAACTACAGTTTTACTTAGAAAACAAGGGCATAGAACATCAATACGTCCTTTGAACAATAAATATGAAGTTGGAAGCGGCCTAAGATGTTGCTCGTACCAATGTCATTTTCCAAGTAAACTGCCACTGTAAGTTCTTGTTAGTAACGATGTTACGCGGACACCGGGGTTTTATTGATTCTGGGTGTTTCGATCCCGCCACAGCCACACGCGGGCCCAGTAGATTGATTACGCATAAGTCGTTTTTATTACGATTTAGATTTATGTGTTAGTTTATGTAATGTTCGTTGCTCGAATTAAAAAGAGCTCCCTGTAGTCTGTAAAATGTTGAAATGTATGTAAAAAATTGTAAATATAAAACACAACTCATTTATTGTTTCATTCCGAACTCCTACAAGTAGGTGATTTGTTTATGTAATGATTTTAAGTAATGAATTAATTTAGCGAATAAAATTAACACGTCTGTTTAAAATTGAATCGAGAACTTATTTTATATCGAATCCAATTTAGATAGCTATAAATTACTCTTACATCTATTACATAGGTAGGTAATGATGTTCGATTCACCTGAATCATCTAGATTCAAGCCTTCTGGCTATTACCTGGCTCCATATACCTGGCATTGCTGAAGTTTGTCTGCAGTTATCAACCTGAGAAATGTGTGTAAAATGTGTAGGTATATATTTTGGGAGAAGTTATATCATTAAAAATCTAAAAAATTTCGACCATTGACATAAATATAGTCCTTATGTAGGTAAGTATTTAGGTGGACGGTGAAAATAACAAAAGCATAAAAACAGATCGATGGAAATGTGAAGTTATGCGAATGACGTTGAACGGATTTCCTTGCAAACGACTTCCTCGTGATATCTCGTATTCATAACATAAATAACCACTTGTAGGCCAGTAGATGTGTAAAATTTCTTTTTCTTAGTAGCATGTTCTGGACAGACGGTGCCGGTCGTCCATCGCAGTTCAGTGTTGCTCGTGCGACACGTCTTCGTCATCATGGTCTTTATGTAACACGATGTTTGGCTCAGTGAGAACATTCCTGGGTCACGGTATGTAACTTTAAGGTCCGCCCACCGTACCGAAGGACGCCTACGACTGTCTATGAGTTATTTTGCCCTCGACTTTTCCTTGCACTACTTGTTTCGGGTGATGTGTCTGAAAAACTTGAGGATACGTATTTGCAAAGTTGACGATAATATAAAACAATTATAATACAACAATAGCCCGTGACAGTCAACTGGTGTACTATGGGCCTGGTCTCTACCAAATGTATTGTCGTCAGAGTCCTATAATCGGCGCGGCGATTAGAACACCTGCGACTCACACCATGTAGGATAGATACTTACAGTTCTCTGCCGTCACTAAATCATATTAGGCGTCTCACGAGTCGCGGAGAACCTAACGGGTTACCGGGGCTCCGGCTCGACGTGCAGGAGAAGGAACGGGGTGGTTTTTAGTCAGTAAGAGTATACACTCCCTCCTCCTCAGTCATTCGATGATTTTCCCCCCTTAAAAAAAGGACACTCACGAGTGCCACGTACCCACTTCGTTAGCAAATTCTATCAATAGAAAGTAAATAACAACTGGCGGTGACTGGCGATCACTGGCGATCTTAAACAAATGGTAACTAACTAAATGTGAATGAATTGGACGTCTGGTGTTGTTCACATAAAACGCTAGCCTCCATTTGAAAACACTTGAATTTCGCGGCCTTGTTCAGGGCTTTTTTTTTTTTTAAGGGGGGAAGATCATCGAATGACTGCTCCTGCCTGGGTGATGCGGGAGGGAGTGTCAGACTCTTACTGACTAAAAACCACCCCGTTCCTTCTCCTGCACGTCGAGCCGGAGCCCCGGTAACCCGTTAGGTTCTCCAGGGCTACAAATAAATAAAATATATATTGCTATAGATATCGCTATGGCACGAAATAGTAAAATGTATCGAATTATTTAAAATGACATCACGAAATTGAGAATATTATTATTAATATTTGTAAAACATTTCAACTTATCTAGACAAAATGTTATCTATGCATAGGAAATATAAATTTCGCCATGTTTTTGAACGACCCTGCTTAGTTGTCATTAAATGTCATCGTTCGTTTGACAGACACTGTCAAAGTGTCAAGTAGAAGAGGAGTGGATTGTTCAGTTTTGTGATTGTTAATTTCATATATTTTAATTTTCGTGGATAGAAAATAAGCAGAAATCATGGACGACGATTTACCGACCGATTTCCAGGTCATCGTTGTGGGGACAGGTAAGTTATAGTATCCGTGTAATACTGCACCGGTCATGATGGCGATAGCAGCCTACTTATCGATCCTTTTTTTTCATAGCTGTCTAGTCATCAATTTTACGTTTGAAAATGCTTTATGATATCCTGGGTTGGGAAAGCACAGATCTTTGGACTAGCTGAAAGCATTTTACGTTGATATGATAGCATTATAAAGCAAACTACACCCCAGTAGTTACTGCAGCTTAGTCATTAATTAAATATTTGCAGTGTCTAGCTGCTGTCATTGTCTGGCTACACCACTGAATTTATTAATACGTTTCTCGGTTTCAGAATGTTAGTTGTGAAACTTAATGCATTTTTATGAAATACTTAAATAGAAAATAATGAAATCAATAAGAATTTGCTAATGAGGTTCTTATAAGAATTTTGGCCATAATGGACTGGATATTAAATAATGATATCTAATTAGACTATTGTCCAGGAAATTTTAGCTGCATTATTATATACTTTACCAATAAGCATATATCTACAGTAATATTCCCTCATTATTACTATCACTGTAATTGTCATTAGGTATTATCAAATGCCAGTGATGAATTATACTGAAATAAATGTTAGGTATTGTATGAATATGTGGGATAAAAAGAAAAATAATTAGAGGTAAATAGGATAATTATCTTATATTAAATTTATTAAGTAAATGGTTACACGAAAACCTTGTGAATCTTTTATAAACAGAAATTCAATAAATTTTCTTTGTTTCATACTTAAGTTGATAAATAAAATATTACAATGGCTATTGTAAGATAAAAGTGCTAATAAAACTGAAATAGTTCTTATTATATTTAAGATAAAGATGAAGTAAAATAAATAAATAAACTGAATATTGGCTACAAAATTGTCAGAAATAATTAAGTATATTGTATTAATAACATAACTTGGCTAGTTATTATTTGTAATGTAATGCAGTACATTCACTTTACATTAATTTAGTTATTTGTTACAATAACAACTGAAATTCATTACAGGATACAGCAGAAAATCAATATATACATTTTTTGTAATACAAAACATACATAACATCACGCTTTTTATTTCCCCGAAGGGGTAGGAGAGGTGTACATTACGGCACTTAATGCTACCATACAATTTGACACCCATTTTTCACTGTTTATGTTATGATTCCCATGTAATATGGGGTGAGAGGAAACGAACCCGAGACTCCTTGCAATTGCAACCACTCGGCCAACGAGGCAGTAATACAAAACTAGCTCAGAATATCTTATTTAAAAAAAAAATAATTTGTAATTAAATATCGGTTTAGAATCGAATAAAGGAAGATAATTGCAAACGCTCCTTGTAGTAAAACTGTAATAAAAAATAAACAAATGCCCTTGTTTGTGGTACTATTGACGTTTGCAAAGTAAAAAACTAAATCTATTACGAAGTTAAAAAGATTACAAACTATTGTATAGATTTCTTTTAGTAAAAGGTGTTGTATTTGTTAATTGTGAATTAGTGATGTCTTTTGAGGCTGGACTTTCTGAAATGATAGCAGATATATATATTGACTGCATGGTTGGCGCGGTGGCAGGGCGTTGGTTACCACGCAACATGTCGCGGGTTCCATTCCCGCACGGAACAATTCTTTGTGTGATTGTTGTTCCAGGTCTGGCTGTCATGTGTATGTGAAATTTTATTATTGTTAACGCATCCACGAGACAGCAGAAAATCCTATCCTATAAAAAAATATATCTTACACTATTTTATAAAGCGAAAGAGTTTTTTTGTTTGTTTGTTTGAACGCGCTAATCTCCGTAACTACAAGTCTGATTTGAATAATTATTTGTGTTGGATAGCGCATTTATCGAGGATGGCTATAGGCTATAAAACATCACGCTACGACCAATAGGAGCTGAGCAGAGCGTGTGAAACCGCGCGGAAGTAGCTAGTAGTGAATATATTTACAATAATGATGCTAGCTAGCAAAAGTAATATTAGCTGAGGGAAGTGAAAACTAGTGGAAGGATTAATAAATATCTGCATTATGACTATAGGTTTGTCTTCAGACAAAATGAAAAAACTATATCTAAAATTGTATCTATTTATTTAACATTAATCAGTTAATTGGTTTAGTAAATAAAATTTAGTATAAAGCTAACGCCCGAATACTGAAAGGTTACTCAACTTTAAGTTGTACATAAATATTGTGCCATCACTGTCATTTTACAAAGAATTGAAAGACTCATCCTCAAACTAGATTTTGTACTTTTTACAAATATTCGGTTATAATGAAATTAAAAAGAGGCACAATCTATCTAAACTAAACTTAAATTTAAGAAAATATTAATAATTTCAAACTAAAATATTTACACCTTAAAAAAATATATTACAAAGTATTTGTAGTGACACGAGTCTCCAATACGATGTTGTCGACTATACTGCTAGTGTAAAGAAACTATACGACTTAAAATTGAGTATCATTTGAGTATTTCGACATAAGATAAGACATCCATGGACTTCATTGATCATTCACATCATTTTATGCAATTCCAATTTCTAAGTAGTACTTGTACCTTTATCTAGGAATGGTGGAGTCCATAGTGGCCGCCGCCTGCAGCAGAATAGGAAAGAATGTCTTGCATCTAGACTCCAGTGATCATTATGGAGGTCTATGGGCTTCATACAATTTTGATGGACTACAGAAATTTATCAAAGAAGTCAACTCTGATCCAAAAAGACAGTTGCAGGTCTACAATTTAGCTGAAAAATGGTATATTGAAAAGTGAGTATGTTTTTATCATTGTTTTAAGTAAAATAAACTACATTGTGTTTAGTAGACTACATTGTTTCATTGCAGTAATTTACATTGGGCATTTAATCATGGAATATAGTAATTAATGGACAAAATTGGTTATTTTTTCATACGTTTATAATTGAATTATTTTCGTTTCTTTTTTTATATTCGAACAATCGAATACTGTAAAAGCTACAATTACAATGTAGCACATGTATCCGAAATATAAATTGTTTACACATAATTTTATTGGTTTGTACACCCTGTATACAGTTATTAGATAGGTATCAATGTACAGCATTTTTCATTTGAAATAGGGAATCGGCACAAGATGAGAAGAAGGAAGAGGGTGGGGAAGAAAAGCCCGAGGAGGCGAAAGCAGAGCCAGCTAAGAAAGTGTGGAGCCAGGCCAACTTCTCTGCAGAATATAGGAAGTTTAACATTGATATGACACCTAAGGTAAGGATATAATAGGGTACATGCCTAATTTTTATTTTAAAGTCCGTCTGGTAGATTATTTTAAATCATTAGCCACGTATTTTATATTTTCTTACAGAAACGAATACTTTCGACGATATATTGATTTGAAATGTCGCGTGACGTCACTTCTATGTACATTTTATACGTAGAAAGGACGTTTTAGCCCCCACTCCTAAACTTTAATTCGTTTTATCTAAGTATTGTTTTATATTACGACAAAATAAAAAAATACGTGTACAATATTTTTTCATTACCTAACTTACGGACTAAATTGATTTTTAATTTTCATACCCTGTCATCATCCCAATTGTATTATAATCTAGACTATTCCTTTAAAAGTTGAAACATGTCGTTTTGATATACCTACCTAATCCAAAGTAACGCAAGCCTGAATGGAAAGTGAACCTTGTTTAGGAGATAAATGGTTTGCTTTTTGATCTTTTTTGATCCTATACACAACTACCTCTTCGTTTAAATAGCTGCTGTTCTCTCGCGGTCCACTCGTCGAGCTGCTGATCTCCTCAAACATCGCTCGTTATGCGGAGTTCCGATGCGTCACCAGGGTCTTGACGTGGCTCAACGATCGCCTTATGCCTGTACCCTGCTCCCGAGCTGATGTCTTCGCGACTGAAGCTGTGGGTATCGTTGAGAAACGCCAACTCATGAAGATGTTAACGTCTATCGTTGGATATAATGAAGAGGAAATGAATAACGAATTTAAAGGTAAGGTCGAAGTAAGATAAAGAATCTGCTTAATTTATGTTCAGAAAAAGGTCACATATAGACATTGCACATACATCTTTATTTGATCCTCTAGATTGGAATGACAAGACATTCAAAGAGTACTTAGCACACAAGGGTCTGACTCCTAATTTAATCCACTACGTGTTGTACGCGATCGCGGGCGGCACCAACAACATGCCTTGCTTGGAGGGCGTCAAGGAATGCAAGAAGTTCCTCATGAGCCTCGGTCGCTATGGCAACACTCCCTTCCTGTGGCCCATGTACGGCAGTGGAGAACTACCCCAGTGTTTCTGCAGGTACGTTAGAACACGGTCCACCCGATGGTAAACATCACGGTCGATGAATGAATGATCGTTTGTTTACCAAGTGGGATGCTACTAGGTTTTTATAACATCGTTTCATCTAACACCTGTGTGTATAATTTGTTGTAGATTAGTCTTCAACACTGAATTCGACACGAATGTTTTATTTTGTTTTTATGAGATTAATTCGCATTAACGTGAGAAAACCGATTCATGTCAATTTGAATAATTATTTAAAAGTGTGAGTCTGTGTTACTTTGTAACTGACTAGAGATTGATGTTACATTATCAATTGTTATTGCAAAAAAGTGCACCATGAAAGTGCCGGCTCGATGGTCGGCGGTACAATGACCCAAATGTGCACAACTCGACTACGCAAACAAAAATGAAGCAAACTTTCTATTGTTGCATGCTGCACGTTTTAAGATATCGTAATGTTTAAAACTGACTTTTAGTTATATCTTGTTATTTAATTTCTATAAGAAATTTCAACACTGTCTGTTAAAATTGCTCTTTGATGTTGTTCTATATTAATTGTTCAAATATTTTACAACATGCCGGTCGATGAAGGCTATTCTTATATTCATTCTATAAAAACTTCGGTGAATCATCGTCGCTCACCGTCGTCGTTTCAGGCATGAGAGAATGTGGAGGGATTTCCACTCGCCGCTTACTTATTAAACCCCCATTAAGTATTTATGCAAACAAAACATTCCATGGAATGCGAGGTATGAGGTAGGAAACCGACCACAATATCAAAACATTTTTCGACGTATTTCAGTTTCTGAATGTGGTATCAAGTAAGCAAATAGATATTCGTTTTCCTAAAATGAGATCTAAACAACAATAATTTTCGAAGTCAAAGTAATTAAAAAGTAATGATTGCAATTTAAATGTGAGTGTGAATAGCATTAGGCTGACCCTCGTTAAACTCTGTTATTGTAGGAGTTAGTCTCGGCAGTAAAACGAAGACGACAAAGGGAGCGTTCAAGTATTACGTAACGCAATTTTTGAAGATTTTTGACCCCCCCTCCCCCCACTGTAACGCTCCGTAACGTTTTTCTGTACCCCCCCACCCCCTCTCTTAAGGTTACGTAACACTCAAGTCATCATTTTTACCCTGAAGTCGCAAAAAGTTGTTATAGTTTTTATCCTTCGTATGGTTTTAATTGCCTTATAATAAAACAAGAGATTTTTAATTCGCAACACCTGCGTATTTTGTTTATTTTTTTATAAATTTTTGGCTTTACAAAACACAATTGTTTTTCTCCTTCATTCTCCTAAGTATTTTAGCTTTTTTACTAATAAATTCTTCAAATAAAATAACATATTTATTTTAACCTTTGGCAATGCAATTATAAACAGAAACCCAACTGAAATTAAACATTTTACTCGAAATAAAATCGTATTCTTAACAAAATAAAAAATAATCAACTATTAACCAAGTATCTAAGTAGGTCTATAAAAACAATTCGATTGAAATTACTGCTCCTCTGTCCACGGGTTTGCTAGCCACTCAGATTCTTTCATCACTGGCACCTGGAGTGCAGACGAAGACGGTTCTGGAATTGTTAAGCCACTTGCATCAACTTCGTCTTCGTCGAGCCAGTCAGCATCCTCAGACGATGTTTCATAACGACGCACAATGCAGAGAAGCTCATTTGCCCTTCTGGCAGCAAGGCGCTGTGGCCGTACTCTAGTTTCACAATGGTCTTGGACAGTCTTGCCATGCACGTAACGACAGTGCATTTGAACACTCCTGTGAGATGTGAAATAGATCCCACAGGTTGGACATACTTTTTTCTTTAGGTCGGATTGTACAGATGGACAAAAGAAATCGTAAGGCATCTGCTTAAACCCTTCTAGAGGAGGTGACAGATTAACGGACAACCTTACAAGAAGTGGCGAAAACTTGGATTTTCCTTTGTCTAACAAACTGGGTACTACGAGCTTGCTTGGGGTTTGAAGTATTGGGCAAGGTGGCGGCATGAAAGTATCCGTAAACACAGATTTCAATGCACTTCTCGGACACTTCTAACGAATACTGACAACAAAAACAACATTAAATGACGTACAATACAATCTAGGGATTCCCCGTGAAATATAAACGAAAAGGTTTACCAACATGCGAGAACAAATTAAAAATGGCGACCAGACTAATACAATCGAGAGATTCCCCGTAAAATGTAAATGAAAAGGGTTGCCAATTTGGGAGTTTTATTTCCCTATTTTTTTATATAAACAAAGAAATAATGTTACGTAACGTGTTGTAAGAAGGACCCCCTCCCGCCCGTGTAACGCATCGTAACGTTTTACGAGACCCCCCCGCCCCCCCAAATTGCGTTACGTAATACTTGAACGCTCCCAAACCATGTGGGTCGGGTAAAAAATAAACAGACTTTTATAGGCACGCTGAAATTTTTATGTTCATACAACTATTGAACCAGTTTATTGCGCTTTTCACAAGGTTATTCACTGAGGAAGTTTATAATTAAAGTTCAACAATTGCAACTATACTCGGTTCAATCATTATAATCAGATGAAATACTGCGAGCTGAACATTAAAATGCATTTTGTAGACAATAAAAATAAACCAGCGGAAGTTTTCTTCGAAATATCTAATGTCTACGTTTTATGGACGTGACGAGAGACGGGTGCTTCGAAATCTTCCGTTGTCTGAAAACTGTAGCATTCTTTAATAAATTTTATGTTATATTTATAGATTGTGCGCTGTTTTCGGCGGCGTGTATTGTCTGAACCGGCCGATCGACAAGGTTCAAACAAAGACGGTAGATGAGGGAAAAACTGTGGTCACGATTGACAGCAAATCTAAGACCTTGAACTGCGACCATTTAGTGATCGGCATCAACGAATGTCCTAAGGACTTGATTTCACCGGAGCCAGCGGAGAGCAGCGACATATCGAAGGCGGTGTTCATAACGAATGGCTCCATAATGAAGAATGACAAGGAGCCGCTGACCCTGCTTCGCTTCCCTCCACAGTCTGATGATGATCACGCCGTCACCGTACTCGAAGTTGGACCTGCCACCGGCTCTTGCCCCAAAGGACTGTGTAAGTATTGCAACTCTTAACCACAAACGACCATTATAATAAACATTCCTAACCCTAATTGTGAAACATTTCAACTGACAAGACGTGATGAAACAAAATGAAGAGGCACGAATGGAAACTATTCGAAATATTTCAATTTTAACTAACTGTCGCTTTGTGAACCGGTAGTGAGGGACCTATAATTTAACGATCGTTGAACCATTACGTACGTAAGTAAGTAGCTTGTACTGTGGTGCTAGTGCCGCTATTCATAGTATACTTTAAGAAGTGTCAGGAAAAAGAAATCTATTTATAAAGTAGGTACTTTAATGTTGGTTGGTATTCGAGACATTTTTCTACGGCTTGGCTCCTTGAAAGCGAAATATCAGCTAATTGGCCACGCATGAATCATTGGTGGTACTTTTCTTTACGACGAGATAAATCATGAGCGCTCTACTGGCGATGGTTAAAGTCGAATGCTTGAAACTGCGACTGCCGAACAATGCTACCAAAACTCGTCCAGGGTCAATAGCTAATTTAACTTTTTACTCGAGTTTTTTGTAGAACCGCGCGACTCGGTAACACGTAGTACTTGACTCTTTTTGTCGACGTTATATGTGACTCATTCCCGTCTAGGTTTGTAGATCCAGATGTTTGATTTGTTTCCTTTGTAATGGCTGCTGACTTAACCTAAATGTTTGCTGGCCGGTATGCTGTAAGTAGGTAGTTCCTGGAGTTATGTTCTACACGTGTTTATGCCATTAGTATACTATACAGGGTGGAATTCTGTAATACCACTTGAAGGGGAAGTAATCTTAATACTTAAGATAGAAAGTTTTACTTAAAGAAAACATTCCTTTATTTTTTAAAAGAAACAAAACTGCATTCTAAGTTTTTTTTAAATTAGCTTCACTCACACGGTAATCGAACCAACTAAAATCTGTCAACGTTTGCACCCTGTACTTTTATTGCATAGATCGTTCATTGTTTTCCTTTCATTAAATTCATGAAGTTTCTTAGAGAGATTTCATCCTTATTGACCCTAACAATTGATGCAATAAGAGGGTGCAACTATTACAGATTTTAGGCGGTTCGATTACCGTGTGCGGCAAGCTAATTTAAAAAATCCTTGAATGGAGTTTTGTTTCTTTTCAAAAATAAATGAAGATTTTCTTTGAGTAATATTTTCTAAGTGTTAAGAGTACTTCACATTCAGTTGTTCATACAAAATTCCACCCTGTATACATCATAATGTATCGTACTGAATTTAATAGTTTGTTCAGTTGGACAATAACATGGCGGATACATAAACAACAAATTGAAAGAGATTGTATTTCATGACATTTTCATTTATTTTGATTACATGGTTACATTACATTGGTCGTAAACATTGCTTTTCCGTAGAAGATGGCTCTTTTTTCCGGGCTAATGTTAGAAAAAAGTTGAACTACTGCTAACCTTCTGCCGTAACAAGTGTGGCTTTGATTTGGAGAACCTAGGAACAAGATTGGCGTGATCACTTAAACTGTCAAACACCAAGCGGTCACCGGTGACCGCAACCTATTGTTCTATAATTGTGTCTACAAAACCGGTACTCGACGAGTTAATTGTTTTGAGTTTATAAGAAAATCATACATGTACAAGACACAAATATTAAAAAATAATAATAATATCTACCACAAATTACAAGTCTAGTTATAGTTTATTATTTGAAATGTATAACGCCTTAGTTTTATGACTGCAATGTTATACTATTTAATTGAAATAAATAAATAATAAATCAATACCTAGTTTTGAGATACCTGTAATATTACTTTTATCTACAACAATGGAAAATTTGTGTTTGCAGTTGTGGTGTACTTCATTACGAACAAGGTGAAGGATGCCGAGTCTGACCTTATGGGCATCGCGGAGAAGATCTTTGACATGTCAGGCGGCGACCAAACTGCTGAGTCTGAAAAACCCAAGGTAATATGATGATCTTTAATCAATGTTTCAAAATAATTTATTAATAACCTAAAAATACATATCATGTAGAGTTGACACGTCAAATGGCACGATTCCAGCAATGTCTGGCATCAATTTGAGGTACTTTTAGGGTGACACTTCATTAAATGTATAGTTGAAAACTTTTACATAAAAGACTTTACAGAATGTACACAGAGATGAAAAAAATAAGTTCCGCTACTTGTCGATAGATGGCGCTAGGCTAGGCTAGGCTAGGAGCTCACTCGCTCACTAGACCAATAATCTATTTTAAAAGTATATATTCAAAGACTTAACATGTTCGTGTATTGTTGCAGTGCTTGTGGTCATTGTTCTACAACGTGAAGGATACGAGCGCGGCCGTAGCCAGCGTTGCAGACTGCCTACATGTTTGCTCCGGACCTGATGCAGGACTCGACTTCGACCGCGCAGTCGAACAGGTAACACTGCTTTTTCCTTCCTTTTTATAATTTTTTAATCAACTAGGTTAGTCTTAATAAGATTCAAAGGGGAAAAAATAAAATAAACGTATCACCTAATGTTAGCCGTGCGCAGGTGTATTATTTTATATGAAACTAAGGTTACCTGCAGTTTGCATTCCAAAACCCGCTGTGATTTGGTTTGGGTAATAAACTTACGGTATGCAAGTTTTCATCGAACTATTTAGACCTTGACATATTTAGTATGACGCTCTTAATACGCAAAGTATACCAATAGATGGCGTCTTACGTCTGTAATAACTCCCACAGAATTCTGACGGCAAGTTTACGCGGTAAAACCTATAGTTTTACAAGCTACCGCCATAGCCTGTAGGCGGTTTATGAAGGGGTAAATAATATTTTTTTAAATTCAAGACATGCGCGAAACATACTACTGCTCAGTTGTAAAGAGCAGACAGGATTATGTTTTAATATACTGCTGTTTTAATATACTATCGCTGTTTGAATATACTATCGCTGGTTCGAAGTTTGCCATAATTTCTCCGCTTGACAGGTGGGTTGGAGGTCGCGGCCTACCAACAGCTGCCCATCTGCTCTATCTAATATCTAGTCCCTTAGTCGATTTTTTCGACAAGAGTAGAGCTGGTGACTGGTGACAAATGTTTTGTTCTCTACCATCACCTTAGATACCACTTTAGAGAACAGAGAGTAAAGTTCCCTAAGAAAAAGAGGATTTTTATAATAACTATCGTGATACATACCAAATTAACTAAAAATCGCGGGTTTGTCACGTGAATATACTGAGAAAAGCTCTACTAGTTTCGAACCACAGATGGGTTCTTCGGGATATGTTAGTTACTATAAAGTTACTGTAATACTGAAACGTTATTCAATTTTAAGTCGTGCTTAAGCATAGTTCTGTCTCTACAAATTCTTTGTAAAATGACAGAGACAGCACGATATTTAAGCACGACTTAAAATTGAGTAACGTTTCAGTATTCCAGCAAATATCACTATCTTGTTGCATTGATTAAATATAACATTGGAATGTAAATTATAGCAGTAGCGAAATATGTTTGCCAAAATTTCAAATACAGGTGCGTTGACCTAAACTATGCTGACCTGCATATCGATCCATTCCTACCTAGATAATATTCATAAAACGAAACTTTCATCTGTAGATTCGAGATAGGAGAATAGACCTATTAGCTAAGTAATTAGAGTCTAGTTTCCCTGCCATTGCCATTATACTTTATTGCTGGCCAACATGAAAGAATTCAATTAGAGCGATTGGATTGTGGCCTTAATAATTTCTAATATTTTAATCCTCGACTATCTAGGTTTAATATATAAAGTGTGACTGATCTACTATTTGCCAGTGATGTCATAAGTTCCATGAAATATATACTTTCTTTTTAATCGATTTAAAAAAGGTGGTTCGTTATTTGACCTGTATATATGTATATTTGTGTGTGATTTCCTCGCGATCGGTTGAACTGATTTTGATGCTGTTTAGAAAAGTGTTTGGTACACATAAGAGAAGGTTTTAGTATATTAATTAACTGACTTAAAAAAAAAGAGAGGGCTGACGTCGGATTTTTTTTAAAACGAAGTTTATAGAAGAAATGTGGTTTATATTGTTCGTCGGAGTTTAGTTAGTTGAACTGTTATTATATTTTATTCAAATTTACAAACATGTTTTTATGTAGTTTTAGCTGTAAGTCCTCCAGGTTGTAATAAATAAATAAATGTTACACTATCAGCATAATATAAGTGACTTCTGCTGACAAAAGGTCTCTTCTCGTGTTGAGCATTAATCACAACGGTTGCACAATGCGGGTTGGCAAATTTAAACTTATAATCAGAAATTATGAACCCAGTTGATATTTTCCTTCACCGTTTGTCAGTGGTGTCTTAAAATCTTAGAAAGTACATATAACTCAGAAATGGTCACATTGACACTTGCCAGGTTTCCAACCCTCACGCTCATACATTTGTATGTATTTTGTATGAAATTGCCGGCATCAAAATTAATGTCATACTTCAATACATAGTATAAAACAAAGTCGCTTTCGCTGTATGTCCGTATGTATGCTTAGATCTTTAAAACTACGCAACGGATTTTGATGCGGTTTTTTTTAATAGATAGAGTGATTCTTAAGGAAGGTTTGTATGTATATACATACTGCACCCGTGCGAAGCCGGGGCGGGTCGCTAGTATTTTATATATCTTAAATGAGAATGAAAAATACTACAACAACCTTTAACCGGGGAACTCGACTAGTTTCAAGCCATGCTAGAGACTCATATTCATGAGCAGCAGAAAACATAATAATTTATTTAGTATGTCTTTAACCTTTAACCGCTTGATTGCACCGATATGAGACACAATACAAAATACATTGTGTCTCGCTTGGATCCATGTTTAAACACACGAAAGGTTAAGTTAATTAATTAATTACATTTGTTTTTTTTCAGACTTTTTAATTAATTTGTTAGTGGACATATTTCTTTTAATAAGTTATGATTCTCATTTTTGTTATAATGGAATTAGATTGATTGGCCTGACCTCTGGCTGTGTATATGAGCATCAAGTCACGTGGCTTCACATGTTCGGCGATAACCACGCGGATAGCAACGTTATTAGGTAAAATATATGATAAAAATAACAATTATTGTGAAATATTATGTATTAGAAATAATTGTGTTTGATTCCGGCTCGCCGTATACAATATGTTTAATTTTTTATTTACTCATTTCAATTAAATTTAATATTATTAAAAACGATAGTCTTAATTGCCTAAGGAGTTGGCTACTTTTGGAATTTGTTTACATTCTATATGGATCTTACAATCCTATTCCTACGATAGGTTAATTAATTAGTGAAATGGTACATCAGAGTCAATGTCCCTTTTATAGATAATCTTTGATTTATGAAGGACCAAAATAGCTTTACCTTTTTTTTCTTTACATGGGTCCATTTATATTTGTCGATCACACTAGACTACTTTATATTATAAATGCGAAAATTTCCATGTATGTATGTAACCCCTACACGTCAAAACGGCTGAAGGGATCAAAATCAAATTTTGAATTACATAACATAATATCACGCCGTTTATCCCCGAAGGGGTAGGCAGAGGTGCACATTACGGCACTTAAGCCACTGTACAATGTAACACCCACTTTTCACCATTTATGTTATGAGTCCCATGTAATAGGGGGTGAGCCTATTGCCATTACCGGGCACAATTCCAGACTCCGTGCTACCACTGAGAATTTTTTAAAGCCCAGTAATACTTTGGCCGACCCGGAAATCGAATCCGAGACCCCTTGCCCGGCAGTCGCCAGATTATGGTCTGGAAGAATATGTGTTCTTCCATACCATAATCACGTTTTATCCTACGCAGGCGAACCCGGTGGCAGAGGCTAGTGTGTTAAAGTCGTTCAGCGTCAAACAATCATTGTAGTACTAAAGGACCACTCGAACTGGAGGCTTACTCTTGAATCCAATTCCGATCGATCGACATTGGTAGGTATTGTGAAATTGTTGCAACACTAGCGCCCATTGCATCCGTATTGCGTGGATATTGAATGAACTAAATGGTATTGAGTTTGGCTTTGTATTCCGTACTCTGAATGCTATTTTAACAGCTACGATAGGGGTTGTATAGTTTTGACATTGAATTATTATTGAGATTTTATTGGATTGAAATTGAATTAACATTGAGATTGGTTTCAAGAGTAAGCACCCAGATCCTAGTCAATTAAATATTCAAAGGTCAAAATGCTTACCCATGACACCAATTCATAATGCCTAATTAGATACTTAATTACAGCCATTCTTTAAACTAATTTCTCACGAATTTCTTCCTTTATAGCTAAGTCTGATTTCAAAGTCAAAGTCAAAGCAATTATTTCAATTAATCCTTGATTAGGCAACTTCGAAACGTTAATTTAATTGTTAGTGAAGCTAGGTGCTCGTTCCAAAGTGTACTTTCGAATGGAGAAAAACGAACAAGAAACTCCGTCGTACTCTTTTCAAAAAAATTATCTCACAAATACATTATATTTATATTTTATATATAGGTATTATATAAAGCGGAAAAGTTTGATTTTTTGTTTGTCTGTTTGAACGCGCTAATCTCCGTAACTACAAGTCTGATTTGAATAATTCTTTTTGTGTTGGATAGCGCATTTATCGAGGATGGCTATAGGCTATAAAACATTACGCTACGACCAATCGGACCTGAGCAGAGCATGTGAAACCGCGCAGAAGTAGCTAGTTGTATAAATATGTGAGAACAACGTAACTCCAATACAGTATCAAAACATCTAAAGAAGACTCTCAAACATGGTGCCTACACATGTACACTTACAATTTGAATTAACTCGTCGAGTACCGTCATTATAGACACAATTATAGAACAATAGGTTGCGGTCACCGGTGACCGCAACCTATTGTTCTATAATATAAAACCTTGTTCCATTATAATTAACATACTCCATCAAAGACCGTATACGAAAAAACAAATTTATTAAATATTAGACAACTATACATTTATTACACCTGCATTCTTATTAAAAACATAACTTCAAACTCAATACAAACTAACATACAACTAAAGAAAAAAACAATGTCACATAACTTGAGAAATAGAAATAAAAACAAACTGGAAGCCATTAGCGTACGCACGAATTACGGTAGAAAGACTATATATTATTATATGAAGGAGTACATCTGTTCAATGCATTACCCGACGATATCAAAGAATGCGATAACGTGAACACATTTAAATATAAGCTAAAGAAACATTTAAGTACATTATAACTGCTGATACTTTGGAGGAAATTTGTATTGTACCTACTAAATTTGTTTATTACTTTGTATCTCATTATAAGTGGACTATATGTTCTTATGAGAAATAAATTTCATTTCACACAAACATTGATTTGATTTAGTATTAATATGCTTTTGTTTTGAATTGTTTTAATCGATTGAAAATACAACCTATTGTTAATTCTTTCTGTCTGAATTATTTAATCAAAGTATAATAATAACGTTTTGCAAAGGTTTATAAACTTAAATGAAATATTAGGTCATAACATAAATGCTATTAAATTACTAATTATGTTATTTCATTGTAGGAGTTGTAAACACTATAGTTTGCATTCAAGATCAATGACAAAATGCTAATTAAATTAGTCATTATGATTAATTATCTACCAAAGGAAACAAATAAAATAGTTTCTTATATTTAGATACTACTTATGTTAGTTAGGTAACACCTTACTCTTAATAATTTTCTTATCATAGAATGAAACATGATAAGAGAACTATAGTAACCCAAAACACAATTATAATAAATTATTTCCGTCAAACATTAATCATAAATATGTAACACTGTTTATTGTTTTTCGTTATTCAATAGATTGTGTGACTCTATCTTTAGGGTTCATTTCATTAAAACCTTGTTTTGTATCAAATTCACAGTTAATACGGTTTTAGAGATAAGCGCCTTTAAAACTTTGCTTCGGCATGAATGGGACTGCTAAGTTGTACTTAAATATCGTGCCATCTCTGACATTTTACAAAGAGTTTGTAATGACAGAACAATACTCAGGCGCGACTTAAAATTGAGTAGCGTTTGAGTATTTCGACATAACAAATATCTTAACTATACTTATTACATAAAGGATATCTCTAATATATAAAATTCTCGTGTCGTTTTCGTTGCTCTACTCCTCCGAAGCGGCTTGACCGATTTTGATGAAATTTTTTGTGCTTATCCGATATCTATGAGAATCGGCCAACATCTATTTTTCATCCCCCTAAATGTTAGGGGTAGTCCACCCCTATTTTTTTTATTTTTAGACAAAATTTTTAATTTCTATTTTTTTATGATACAACATACATACATTATATACATACATAAATACATACAATCCTCAATTTTCACCCTTCTACGATCAACCCTTATTTTTTAATAGCCATTTTAGTAATTAATTAAATTTATATGGCAAAACAACGTGCCGGGTCAGCTAGTATTATATAAATCAGCCTATCTTGAAGTGTTACACTGTGAATCAGCTGATTCATTTGATCGTAAACCCAATTTTCTGTATGAGATATATCTACTCATCCTCATCCTGAATTTAGCAAAAATAAACTATGAAAACAAAATTGAGCAGAAAGTATTATAAATGTTCGTTGCAGTATAAAAAGGTTAATTTATTACGGAATCGGAATACTTTACACGGCACAGTTAGCTCCCGTGTACCTCTTGTAGCTACTTACTTACCTATATTTTTTGTTGTTATCTTTGGTTAGCTATGGGTTATCTCGTGCGTGTTTCTAATAAATGTTAAAAACAGTTAGTGATTGACTAATGTAAACATAATTATATTTGTTTATAGATTAATATACTGAACACATGGTGGGTTCAATGAAATTGTGGTGCAATTCATTCTTGGATAGCGCCTTATACACTCAAACAGAACAAAGATTTTAGTATGGGATTGAAGAAATTAAATATCTTTTTATTTAAATACCATATACCCAGTTATGTGAAAGCCTCACTAATGTGTAAATATGTATACGTTAAATACATAAGTTGTGTTATTGTCGTAGGCCGAGCAGATCTTCAAGAAGATCTGTCCAGGCGAGGAGTTCCTGCCGCGCGCCCCCGACCCAGAGGAGATCGTGTTCGAGGACGACGTGACGCACGGGCCGGAGTTCCAGCGCGAGCACGACGACGAGGCCGACGGAGACGCACCCAAGGAGTAGGCGCTTCATGCCACGTGCAGCGTTTTAATCAACATCAGCACGTTTGAGCGAGTTCCCGTGCTTCCATGGTCCTAGAAAATGTGGATAACCCCAGTTTATACCAACACCGAATAGCCTTCGCATACAACTGAACAAACTTCGCTAATCGCATCCGCACCATCATACTTCGTATCCATATACCGAGGCGTCCACTGTTTCCTAGGTCCACAACTTTTTTGCTCTAATTTAAGTCCATATCAATATTTCCAAATACTATAAAACACGCTGAAACGTGCTGAATTCAGCTAAGATGTAATCTCAGTAAGATTTATACGCTTTGGTCGCTTGACTTCGTGCATTCCGACTGGTGCGTTAGGATTGAGAAAGTAAGACACAGACGTCGTTATAGCATGAACTCAGATTTTACGAGTGTGCTTATCGGAAATTGTGGCCGGCTAAGTCTGCCTCAGTGTTTGATTCAATAATAACAGATAACTCATCAATCTTATCGCTTTGATAGTTTGAACTTATAAACGAATGTGTACCTAGTTTTGGTAGTTTTTTATAACCGTGTTATCAATCGAGACTTGGCCGGTCACTTCCTGCGTCTATCTGTGGTTCGTCAGGCAGGGTAGACTTTATCAGCTGGGTTGTCTTGATATAGTCAGCAAGATCAACTTAAAGCACTTTGAGGCTAACAATTATTATAATCGATAGAAATAGTTACTCAGCCAACATGACGCCGAGATCTTGTTGAAGACCAGTGTGATACTGACTTGATATCATCACTAGGTATTTAAGATATATTTGTATTACCACGTGGTTGCTGCGCTCTCTACAGATCAAATGTATAATTCGCCAGTATTTGGGTTTTAAGTCAAAGGAGTATTATTGAAAATGATAACAGTACCTACGACGAGCAGCGGTAGTATTGCTAGCTAGGATGCAGTTTAAAATGTTAAGAATAACATTTTTGGACGCACCAGTCTAAATCATAGATAGTAGCACATATAATTTTATTAAGTTATTTAGCACTTTTATGATATTTATTATCAAATTAAAATAATCATGCCTGCGCAGCTTGTGCATTTATAATTCCAATAAATTGTGATTATTAGAATATTTGTTGTTTTTATTTATCACCTACTATTTACTACCTACTAATGTACCTACATTTCACTTGAGCTTACAACATTCCCACCCCATTCTTCATGGTTTCGCTGGGGGTTTAAAACTATAGGGGGTTCCGAACCTTTTGTTATTTTTTAGCTAGGACCCCGAGATTTCCGGATAACCCAAGATTTTCAAGCACACAATAACGAAAGGTCGGTCAAACATCCAGCTAAAATTTTCTAACGCACTAGGATAAAATTAGTCCTAGGCTGTCCTATCTTCTAAAATTATTGTTGTTCGTAGAAGGGATTAATAAATGGATCAATTCCAAACCGAGTATTCTATTAGTAGCAGAAACTAAAATCTCACGCCTTTGTCCACGGCGACAAGGATGACGGGGTATGAAAATTAAATATCTATTTCGACGGACTAAATAGATATTTAATTTTCAATTGGACAAAGGCGTGAGATTTTAGTTTCTGCTACTTACTAGGTTCTTGCCTCAATATACGTAGGTACAAGATTCATTTAATTTAGTATTATCCTGTATTGAACAGTTATAACAGATTAACTTGATTTGACAAGAAGCCTTGTAAGGTAACATTTTCTTGTTACCAAGATAAATGGATAATCTTGTTAACATTTTTATTATGTATGTGTATAAATATGTGTATATGAATGTGTACCAAATTCTGTTGTGTATTTTAATTTGCTAGTTTTCTATATTATGCAGGTTTATAAATGAACAACTATTTCAATTCACACTTCATTTATTTATTTACACATATAACATATAAAATGGAATACTCTGTTGCAGTGGATAACACATTTTATGCTTACATAATATTTTTTTTATATTTTAACACCTAGTTACAATAGTCTTACATAATATAATAAATTGATTTTCCCTCAAAAATTAACTAGATCTTTTCTTATATTCAGATATACATAATATATTGGGTTATTTTTTGCCTTTGAGACACTAAATTAGAATAACCGTTTTTCATAAGAGAACAAGCTGTGTACATTTCCTTCTAACTGGGCTGAGTAAGTCCTCTTCATGAATCTCAGATCTCCAGAGTAGCTCATTTCCCGTAAAATGGTGACTGATCGAGCTCCAATATCTTGGCAACTGTGTTGCATTCCCGCTTGTAAGTATGGTAGGAACCGCAAGACTGAGCCCTTATCTACGATGCTACCACTCACTCCCTGTGCTACTCTATGTTTGTCAGATTCCTTGTGGAAATATCTGCTCATTGCAGCTCCCTTTCCATCTTTGTTTTCCATAGCTTCTAAGCTGCCCATACCTCTGTATTTCTTCAACCTGACACCATCAGAAAAGAAATATTCTCCAGGGGCTTCAGATGTTCCAGCCAGTAGAGAACCCATCATGACAGTTGTAGCTCCCAATGCTAATGATTTGACGATATGGCCTACAGACTGGATACCACCATCGGCAATTACTGGTACATTGAATTGGCGAGCATAGGATGAAACTTGGTACACAGCTGTAGCTTGAGGACAGCCACATGCCATCACTTCTTGGGTTATGCAGATAGAGCCACTACCCATTCCAACTCTCAGGGCATCAGCACCAGCATCAATAAGGTTCTTGGCTTGTATTCTAGTCACAACATTGCCACCAATAACTTGTATCTCAGGGTAGGTCTTTTTAATGTACTTGATCATCTCAATCTGATATACTGAGTTACCTTGTGATGAATCTAGGACTATCACATCTACTCCATTGTTGACCAGCAACTTGAGGCGTTCTCTGTCAGTTTCGCGAGTGCCAATTGCAGCTCCTACTAAAAGCTGCTTGTTAGAATCCTTGGAAGCATTAGGATAGCTGCGAGCTTTCTTCAAGTCTGTTCTAGCAATGAGGGCCACTAGCTCACCATCTCCATTGATAATTGGCAATTTACCTTTCTTGCTCTTTTCCAGAATGTAATTTGCATCTTGTAAAGTAACACCAGACTGAGCGGTTATCATATCATGAATGGGTGTCATAACTTCCTTGAGACTTAATTGTGGGTCGTTTTCCCTGAAGTCAATGTCTCTGGAAGTGACTATACCAATTAGGCGTCCTCCCAGTTTGCCATTTTCAGTGATAGGGTATCCAGTAAAACCATTTTTCTTCTTAGCTTCGAGAACATCAGCAACGATATTTTCAGGGCCCATGCAAACAGGGTCCCTAATGAAGCCATGCTTGTACTTCTTCACTTTGTGTACTTCATTGGCCTGGTACTCTGGAGTGCAGTTGTGGTGGATGATGCCGATACCGCCACACAGCGCCATCGCTATCGCCATGTCGGCTTCAGTCACGGTGTCCATAGGCGCGGAAACTAGCGGCGATTTCAGGTTAATTTTTTTTGTTAGGGGCGAGGTTAGATCTACTTCATCAGCAGTGAAATCTATATATCCGGGTAGCAAAAGGAAATCATTGTAAGTCAACCCCTCACGGTTCTCGAAGATCTGTGCTGCGGAGAGCCCGTCGCGGAGATCAACGTCGCCTTTGCTGGACATTATTATTGGCACGTTCGAATTATAGGATGTAGAGCGAATGTATAATCACGGGTATGTGGCACTGTATATTATGTGCCACTCACTTTTATGAAACTTGAAGCTTGATATACGATCCAAGTATGTGTTGTAGAACAAAATCGCACACGTGGTGTTTGTTTTAACTCTTCAAATTTATTGTAAGTTAAATAATAATCTCCATGTGAGTAATTTGTTTCTCTCTGTAAACTTGGCGTGGTAAATGGTAAATTCTCAAAAATAGAATTTCGGAAATATAGGTAGTAAATTATTTTACAAAACGCGATACGCCGGCTACCTACTCCACGTTCTATTACAATGACAGTCAGTCAGTACGTCGTACGACACTGATTGACAACTGAAAATGACAAATTTAAACCAGTGTTGCCACTATATTTATACAAGCATTGGGGATGCCAGCTAAATCTTTAAAACAATAATAAAATAATGGTCGTTTCTCGTATTTTGTTTCAAATATTTCAAATTATAATAACAAGTAACATTTTAATTTAGTCAAGTAGGTAGTTATGAAAGCCACCGAAAACATGTTTAATTATAATCGCCAGATCAATAACAAAGATTTCCGTGAAATTTTATAGGGACAAGTCCTTGTCTACGAGTAAAACAATTAATATTAGTAATGATAGCAAGGTCATTGAAAAAAAGGCGGACGCAATGTCAGACGGACGGACGAAATTCAGAAATGATTGAACACAGACTTAAAATAGATAAGCAGACCAAACATTAGTTAAAAATTGTGGAGCCAAAAACCACAGACTTACAAAAGCGTATATATTCTAAGTACAGTACGACATAAAAGAGTAGAAAATAAATGAGGCCGCCACCATCGCTCATGTAGCAACCCAGTTAGTACGACCTAACTGAACTTGATACTTGAATAGTATTATTTATTTGTACGTATGATATCCATCATTCTTTGTCCTTGTTCTATCAAGCACCGACCTGATAATAGCGTCTCGTTCTTTTACCAACCACACTGCTCCACACACATAGAGAAATATTGACATGTAGCCAGTTTTTCAGTGCTTAAATATTGATGTTTTTACCTACAACTGTGTCAATCTCGTTATAAAAGAAAATATGAATTGTGAATACCATTAAACGTTTAAATAATCTAAAATAAAATGGTAAAGTGCAGTGCGTACCGATGTGACAGCAATAGCTATAAGAAAATACCTGAAATAACCTTTCATCGGAAGGTGTTTATTTACGTTGTTATAGACAAAAACAAATTGTCGTTTTTTAAATAAAACAACTTTTGATTTGATAATGTTTAATTCGTTTATAACGAAGCCTTATCGACTATCACGCTATTTGCCGATACTTTTACTTAGAATACAATGTACAAAAATAAACAAATAAAATCAACTTCATTTTTCATTCATGACAGTTCAAGTACTTGTGGCATCAACATAGGACGAATTTAGTATTTCGATAGGTTAAACTAATAAATAATATTGTTTTGTTTTTATATCGAGTCAGTGTTAATTATAGGAGGAAGGTGACTCCTTTTTTTTTTTTTTTTTTCTATCTCGATGGAAATCCTCATGGACTTCCCGCGCCGTGGGGACGACGAGGGGGCGTGCCGGACTCACACCGGCTAAAACCACCGCGGTGTTCCTTCATTGCCTGTGACCGTGACCCGGGTTGCCCTTACGGAATCACCACACCCGGCAGGCCTCGACCTACCGCTATGTTTGCGGCAGGTCCCGCCACCTTAGCGGCCCTAGGAGGCTGCTTTCCTTCTTCGAGTAGCGCGCGTGGAACACTACGCTAACGCCTACTCCCGCCTATATAGCGGACGTCTGACTCCCCCGGTCAGTTGCCCGCAGGCCTCTCCTCTCATGGAGGTCGCAGATCGGCTGCCGCTTCACGGCGCTGACGACCGGCGCGTCTACGGCGAGAGGGGAGAGGACTTGACGCCTCTCTCTCCCTTTCAGCCGCTTCCTTTTCCAACATCACTTGTTCACAAAAGGAAGCGACTCCGTCCCATACGCTCTCGCTGTCGACCATAGCTCGTACAACAGTCGACAGTGACAGGTTACTCCCGCCGAGTACTGCAAAGAGTTCACGACGCGGCTCTGCCCATGCAGTACACTCTTCGAGCGTATGCCGCGCCGTATCCTCCAAACCACCATCACAGTGATGACACGCCGATGTTTGCTCCCGGCCTATGCGACACAAGTACTTTCCAAAGCAGCCATGTCCGGTAAGTACCTGCGTCAACCGGAAGCTTAGGACACCATGTCCTCTGTCGATCCACGCCTCCATAACGGGACTTACCGCCGCTATAATGGCGTGCCCTGCGCTAGGTTGCGCAAGTCGTGTCTTCCACTCCGCTATTACATCACGACGGAGTTCTATCCGCCGCGCCTCAAGAACTCGAGGTGGATATCGCTCGCCGCGGGCACTCAGCTCCCCGCGCCACCTGTATAATGACGCGAGAGCCTTTGCTTCCAAGTCCCAGGGTGGGGATCCCGCTAAGAGGCTGGCAGCCTCGAAAGAGATCGTGCGGTAACCCCTTATCACTCTGACGGCCATCGCGCGTTGAGGACTTCGTAGTAAGGCGACGTTAGGCGCCGTCAGTCCATCCGCCCAAACCGGTGACCCGTAAAGGGCCATAGACCGCACAATCCCCATGTATAACCACCGACAGGATGAATTAGGGTTCCCCAAGTTGGGAAGCAAACGCGAAAGCGCCGCTGCCGCACCCCTTAGTTTGGGGACCAGTTGATGAAGGTGTGGTCCGAAATCCCATCGACTGTCAAGGACCAGACCGAGATATTTCATGGTCGAATTTACAGCAATACGAACCCCTGCAACCACAATATGCGAGCCTGCCGGTGGACCCCGCCGAGCCCTATGGAAACAAAGGGCCTCGGATTTATTAAGAGCCACCTCTAGACCCAAACACCGGATCCTTGACACAACTTGCGCAACACCTGCTGTTGCTAGTAGCGCAGCATCCCGGTAACTCTTCCCGCGTGCCGTCACCAGCGTATCGTCAGCATAGCAGGTCACTACAACGCCGTGGAGAAGAGCACCACGAAGTACCCAATCATACCCAATGTTCCACAGGAGCGGTCCCAGGACCGATCCCTGTGGAACACCGGACGATACCTCTCGTCGACCCCATCTCTGAGCACCCGGTTAGATTATCGCTCTCTCCGATAGGTAGGCCTCGACTGTGCGGCGGAGGTAGGCAGGCACTCCGTGATACCGGAGTGCCTCCTTAATACAGCTCCAGGGCAAAGTGTTAAACGCATTGGCGATGTCTAAAGACGCCGCCAAGACCACCTCACCCCGGGACACAGCTTCCTTCGCCATGGTCTTTACTCGCATAATGGCATCTACAGTCGAACGCCCCTGACGGAATCCAAACTGGTTGTCCGCCAAATCTGGCCCTTCTGATGAAAGGTGTTGAATGAGGCGGTCAGTAATGATTCGCTCAAACAACTTGCCTACCTCATCCAGCAGCACGATGGGCCGATAGGCGGACGGGGAGTCAGCTAGGCGTCCTGCTTTCCTGATCAGAACCAATTTTCCGGTTTTCCATCGCTGTGGAAATTGGCCCTGTTCTAAACATGCACTCAGAAGATTTCGCAGTCGAGGGCCAAGAGCCTCCATGGCCAGAACCCATGCCCGACCAGGAATTCCGTCAGGCCCAGGGGCGGTATTTTTGGCCTTGAGTCTGAGCACTGCCGTTTTAAGCTCGGCCTGGGTAACCTCAGGCACTTCGTTGCCACTTTCAACGTCTCTTGCGATGGGCGCCGACGGAGGAACCATGGGTGGTGGTGTGTGATCTTCTCCCGCCGGAAATAGGACACTCACAATATTTTGCATCAACTCCGGCCGCAGACTCTGGGTTAATGGAGGCGCCCAAGGGCGAAGTTTACCCCGCACAGCGAGGTATGGGCGTCCCCATGGATCCCGATTTAATGCTGCGAGCTGCTGCTCGCGGGCCTCGGCCTTGGCCCGCACAATGGCAATTTTGAGTGCCCTATAGGCGTTATACAGTTCCGCCTCGACAATGTGCGCGTCCGGTGCACGCCGTCGTCTCCGCCGATATCTGGCATACTGACGCCTAGCGGCCATGCAGGCAGCACGAAGGTGCTCGATGTCTTGAGACCACCAATATACCTGAGAGCGCGCGGGCAGTGTACGCTGTCGAGGCATCGCCGCATCACAAATGTTTGTCATTGCCGCCTGGAACCACTGCGTTTCTGTGTTTATGTCCTCAGGCCTGTCTGCTGCAGACACCCAAGCTTGGACGATGGCGGCTTCACGGAATAGTTCTCGCTTGAGCTTCTTCAGTGCCCACCGTGGACCAACGTCAACAGGAGCTGCCGTAGCTGGGCGGACCGAGGTATGGGCAGAGACGTCAAATCGGATGCAGCGATGATCTGACAGAGTTTCCACCTCCTCTAGGACTCGCCAATCCTGAACACGACGCGCTAGGGCGGGGGTAGCGAATGTTAAGTCCACTATCGAACCCCCACGCATACGTACGCACGTGTTAATGGAACCTCTGTTGAGTAGGGCTAATCCGTTCTCAATAGCCCACTCCTCGACTTCCTGACCACGAGCGTTGGTAGCTGGTGATCCCCATGCCACTGATTTGGCATTGAAATCACCAAGGACTAATATCGCACGAGGGTGATTACGACCAACGACAGTGCCCAACTCGGATAAGAAGCTCTCAAATTCAGCGAGAGGTTTGTTTGGAGAGAAATAGATACCAATAACCACTATCTCTCCAAACAACGCCGCAACGTATCCTCGTCCCTTGACGATTTCTTGAAATGTCGGGGAATCTACTGTGGTCCTCGAGATTAAGGTCACCAAACCATCGGCATCGCAAATCCAGTCGTCTCTGGCCGGTACAAACCATGGTTCAGCGACCACCGAAAGATATATAGACCATTGCGCCATGCTTTGAAGCAGAAGATCTTGAGCTCGAGCGCAGTGGTTAATGTTACTTTGAAGGAAGCGTAGAGCCATTACTGACAATCTACATTTTGTCTCTCCTCCTCAGACTGCTCACTTACGGCAGCAGCAAACCGGGTTAGTTCTGTGGGTGCCTTAACTACCGAGGCACCGTGCCCACCCTTCTTTTCTCCCCTCTTCTTGACAGTTCTGGCGCATGTCTTACTGTCGACGCGATGGTCTGCCTGTCTGCCCATTACTTCGCACTTAGGGCAGTGTGGTGGTGCGTTGCAAGTACTGGCTTTATGCCCAGGCTTTCCACAGCGGTAGCACAGATCACTAACATTGACGCTGTGAGTGCATTTAACGCCTACGTGTCCTTCT